AGAAAAGGGCTGCACAACAAGAGAAAAGGGTTGAGCAACAGGATAGTCTCATGGTTATGATGCAGAGGCAAATGGAAAAAATGGAGAAGCTTATGCAAAGGTTTCCCGAGGCATTATTAGATACTGAGGATGACGACAAGACTCAGCCCCCGTCTCAGGACTTAGGTGATGACCATGATTATGCAGATCATCCACCAGCATGACTTTTGTATCTTGTTTGGAAGTATGACAAGATCTATTGTACATAGACTCTTTTGATTAGTATATAACAGGGACTTTTGTATGTGTATGTCTCTTTTGATTAGTATATGTCTTGGACTTTTATAGATATAAGACTCTGTTGATTAATATATGACACAGACTTTTGTATGTATAAGAATTTTTTGATTAGTATATAACAAGAACTTTTGTACACATAATTATATTAAGATCATATGATTTTGATGTTATTTACTTTCATTATATTTGTTTATCAGAGGCAAAACATAAATTGGTATTAATTTTGTAGAGAGAAATTAAAAAAAAAAATCGATGCAAGAACAATTTTGTCAAAATTTGAGGCAATAGTTTTCGAAGGAATTTCATTCATTTTCGGTCGAAAAATTTCGACGGAATTTGTTTTCCATGAAAAATCATTACAAGATTTTTCGACGAAATTTCATTCATTTTCGGTCAAAAAATTTCGACAAAATTTATTTTCCGTCGAAAATTATTACAAGATTTTTTTACGGAATTTTATTCATTTTCTGTCAAAAAATTTCGACGAAATTTAATTTCCGTAAAAAATTAATACCCTGCGAAAGACAGCCTTATCGGTGTACCCACGTCGTTCGTCACAACACTGGTCCGTATCAATCTTGAACACAGAACCAGGATTAAGTGTCATGTAGGTCAGCCAACCAGGTAAGAAGGCATATGATTTATCCCAGTCGCCAAACAACTTCACAATGGCCTTCATTTTAGCCTTCCAAGCCTTCCTATAAGATATGTTATATCCATACAAACGTTGTACCCTCTCCTGAATAAGAACTGGTTTCAGAGATGGATCTTCTTTTAACATACCTATAAAAAAATCGAAGTCAACATAGTCAATAAATATACCGTAAAAATAACATAAACATAACTAATGTAACCAAACATCGCGTAATACATACTTATAATGGCTGCACAGATTACATCAGAATCCAGCTGTCTATGGTCCCGGGTAAGGCCTTGGTTTAGGCAGGTGTGTTCTTTACCCCACTTACTAACAACCCAAGTATTTCCATTCTTGGGCAACATAGCCCGCACGTACCAGGGACAACCATCATTATGGTGTCGACACTTCGTCACAAATCTATGGTCATCACTTTTTGCCACCACAACAGTACGATGAGCCTTCATACAATATAATTTGACTGCATGTTGCATTTCAGATTTAGTTCGAAACTCCTGGTACAAATATAATGGATCCCCTAATTGCCAACCACCGTGGAAGTCATCGTCGCCATACAATATCTCAGTCTCATCATTAGGGTGAGCCCAATTAATGAAGGAATAATGTGAGCTTTCGTTCCAAAACGGCTCAATCTCGGAACCTACGTCCAAATTACAGGAGTTATCTGTCAGTACGAATGATAACACAAATATGAAATATTCATTTAAAAACTTTAATTTACTATCTTACCACTGCTAACAGGGTCAACACGGAGTGGTGGCATAACCTGGGAACTCAGGTTTCCTGAACTTGTGTCAGCGTCAAAATTCTCCTCTACGTCCGTATCTGAGGTGTCACCCAGCGGAATAACACTCTCGGGTTCACCGTTGTCTTCACTGTCATGCTCATCCTCATCCTCGTCTATTTCCCTCAGTGTTATCTGACTTAAGACAGGTGCAGGTGCAGATAAACCGACCACTCTGTCTTCTTGACTTTGACTTCTTTCATGCATGGGTGCAGATGAAGATTGACCACAATCTATTTCAACATATATCTCAATAAAGTTTTGAAATTTTCGGTCCACAATTGCATCTATGACACATTCCACATCTTCATCGTCACATATATCATCACCAATGTAGAATATAGCATCCTTACCAACTGTAGACTCTACCCTGGCGATCATCCGATGAACGCACTGGCTGCCTTGTAGCCCCAATTTTTGGTGAATCCTCCCTTTCAGCTCATTGTACGTAGTGCCCCGTTTGATTTTCAACATTTTCATTTTTCCTTCAAATTGAACACCGTTGGGGCCTTTATAATGCTTTCCATCATAGTAGATCATTGTAACATACATGTTTGGGTTTGAGCTCATATTTCACACGAATTTGGGGGTAGGAATCGGATTTTAGGGTTTTGGGTTCGAATTTGGGGGAAACAAATGAGAAAATAAGGGGAATGACAATGATTTCACAATTACTATGATTTAGAGATGGTGGGATGAAATGGAATCGTTATTGGAAGGATCACAGCTGACAAACAAGAGATAGAGGGGGTACAAAACGAAAATATTGCAAATGAGACCGAGAGAGGGCTGGATATAGGGTTTTCTGCGACTTTTAATCAACTAAATAATGTCCTTAGTCGATTAAAAGTGCTCGAAATGTAGTCGATCAAGGTGAGGATGTAGTCGATTAAAATTCGTGATTCATGTTTTTTGAATTTTGACCATTTAGTCGATTAAAAGTGCAAGTTGATCGACTAAATGAGGGCAGGATGGTGGATAGTTCCGAGGGAGGGACAAATTGGTTATTAATTAATTAATGAGGGGTAAAAAGGTCAAAAAGCCTGGAAATAACTCTATTTACTCGAGTTAATAAATTCATCTACTCAGAGTTAATATGAGACATAGGGTATTAAATTAGCTAAATTAATTGAATTAGCATTAAATTAAACATTATACAAATTAAAAATATTATTAAATTTATTAAGTCTAATAATATTTAAAACCATGAATAATTCTTAAAATAAATTTTTAAAATTCTCAAAAATTTAAAAACAAAAAATTATTGCTTATAATAATTTGATTATTGATTGATAATTAGAAAATAGAATTTATTTGATTTTTATCTAAGTAAATAGGAAAATAATAATTGTTTTCTTTTTCAGAAATTTTAGAACATAATTTTTATTTATATGATAATATTTCTAAATTCCTATAAATTTAAAAATATTAAATTTATTATTAATATAATTTTTTAACGATTAATTTTTGGAAAAAAAATTTGTCCTTTTAAAAGATATAACTTTGTGTCATTTTAGATTTTAACTGTTGACTTTCATCAATCAACAGTTATAATTTATTAGGTCAAATTTAATAATTAATTAATAATTTACAATAATTATAACCATTGATTGACAAAAATTAACGGTTAATATCTAAAATATCACAAAAAAAAAAATTGGTAAAAAGAATAACACAAAGTTATATTGACATTTTGACCATTATATCCCTTATTAAATAAAAAATAACCATTATGTCCCTGGTTCAAAATTATAGACCAAATTGCCCTATTTTAATCGATTAAAGTAAATATGTAATCGATTAAATAATATGTAATTGATTAAATTAAATACATAATCGATTACAATGTGAAAAAACAAATTAACTTTAACGAAAGCTGAGTTGAAATGGAAATGGGTTGAATAATACCCCCACTGCAACTATTATACTTTTGCAGTTAATCAAACCCTCAAAATCCCATAAAAATTGTAACCCAATCTATAGAAAATGCATTCAAATTTCCATTAAATAAGGACAACAACCACTGAAGGAAACAAATTCAAAAGACCTGCAAAAATTTCGTTAAAAATTTAAATTTTATTTTTTACCACATTAAACTCAATGAAAACCAGCGCGCATGCTTCACGCAAGACCAGATTGTTTCAGGTTTTCAGCATTCTGAACAGATAGTATACTCTTTCCTTCAAAAACATAACCCACATTCTCCCAACTAATAAGAAGTTACCTTTCAGATACTTCCGCTCCATCACTATAATTATTACTATTGTTTTTTAACAGAGAAGAGAAAAACACTAGTAATTATAGAAAGCATGAAAACACACAAAAAAAAGAAAAAGGATAAGGTTTTTTTTTTTAAGAAAAAAAATGAATGTAAATGAGATGAGATGAAGTATTTTCAAGATAGAGACAAGCATGAAAAGAGTGAGGTTGGTATGGCAAGGGGTGATGATGCGTAGGATAAGGATGTGCAGGATAGAAGCCTCTGGTCCGCTCCACATGTTCGCCTTCACCCCATGCAACTCTCTCTCCATCTCCGGCGTGTGCCCACCATGCCCCGCCGCCCCTTGATTCACGTACTTGCTCAGCTCCGGCGCACCGGCAGCCTCATCAAACCCACAAACGACAAACGTTTTTTTCTTAATCTTTTTGTCCAAAAAATTCAATGTACCTTTTTTTGGTAAATAAAAAAGGAAAAATTCAAAGTTATAATAACGAAATAATAATATAGTGATATTTTAAAATCTCTATAAATTAAAAAAATATCAAATTTATATTTGATAGTAATAATAATAATATTTTTTTTATTTTTTTTCGTAACTGTTAAAAAAATAATGGAGTTTTTTCAAAATTATTTATTTATTTGTTATTAATAATATGATTACTTTTTTATTGTCAATAATATCAAATTTATTTTCCCGCTTTTTGAAATCTAAATATAGAGTCTTGAAAGTTGAAAGTAGCATATTGTTAAATTTATTTAATAAAATGATATTTTGGTCTACAAACCTATTGAATATATATGAGATTGTGGAAGCCGCAATTTTGTTTCACGAAATCCGTGGAAAATCTTAAAATATAATTATATTTGAGGAAATATATGTTGAGATCAAATAAGATTGTTTTAATTTATTTTGTCAATCAGAATAAATCCCTATAATTAAGTGGTTTTCTTATTTCTCCATATTTAAGTACACGTTGCTAGAAAAATACAATCCATTACAATTATTTTGACAGAAACCCTAACGCTAATTCTGTGTTGTTGAGTAGAAAAAACAGTGCATGGAGAGTAACATCCCTGAGGAGATGGTGCAGGAAATCCTGTTGAGGTCACCTGTGAAATCTCTTCTTCGATTCAAATGTGTATGTAAGCAATGGCTTTCTCTTATTTCTGATCCCTCTTTTGCAAAATCGCATTTTGAACTATCTGCTGCTCCGTCCCACAGACTTCTCTTCCCAATATCATATTCTGATTCCGAAGCTCAATCCATCGATGTTGACGTGCCGTTTCACGATGAATCTGCTGTTGTGAGCCTCATTCACCCCCTTCCAAAGTTTGATGTTTCTTGTTGTATTTTTGAAGTTTTTGGTTCCTGCAGAGGGTTTGTTCTTTTCTCGGTGTTTTCGTCAAATCTCTATGTATGGAATCCATCAAATGGTGTTCACAGACCGCTGTCACTGTCATTCTCTCATCTTATACGAAAGATACGTAAATCCAATATTTATACGCTTCTAATTGGTTTTGGGCATGACCCGTCCACTGATGATTACTTGGTAGTTGTTGTATCCCAGAATGAGGAGGGAAACCACATGATGCTTTTCTCTTTGAAAACCAATTCATGGAAAAAAATCCAGCTTTCCCATATTCCCCATACGGGTTACTACAAGTTGCATGGATTGTTCATTAACGGGGCTATTCATTGGTTGATTTTCCCTCATCATGGAAGTGATCCAGGAGTTATTATTGTCTTTGATTTGACTGAAAAACAACTATCAGCTATATCTCTTCCAGATGGTGATTTCAAGTTCGGCTATTTGTCTGGTCGGGATTTGATAATCACTGGTGGATGTCTCAGTTTTTGGTACAGGGAGGGGTTTACACAAAATTCAGGTGTGGTTTATGAAAGAATATAAAGTGCATTCATCTTGGACTATGTTTGAGATTCCTCATGACAGGGAACCCAGACTCGTTTGCTCCACCAAAGGTGGTGAACTTGTTGCATTAAATGATGCCAATTTGATGAAATTTAATGATAAAGGAGAATTGCTTGAAATTCACAGAAAATATGATCGTCTGGATTGGTTTCGGGCTAGCTTTCTATACAGAGAGTCTACTGTCACTCCCCGGTGACTGTTGTGAAAACATGGAAACACAACCAACAAAAACAGACAAGAAGAATTAGGGTAAGTAATGTTCTCCAGTCCTTTTGACCATTTCAGTCATCCATAACTTTAATTATGCAATTATAAGGAATTAATGATGAGCTTTGGTGGTGGATCGAGTTTACCTATGCTTAGGGAAAATAATCAATGTCTTGCTTCTTCTAAATAAACAAAGGCTATTTGAGTGGTCAATCGTACGTATACTCGTCTGAAATGCCATGCCAGTGCAGAATTAGTGTCCGTTTTGATGATAGTTTCAGCAAGGTTTGATTGTGTCACATATTATAATTAGTTGTCAATACATGCTCTTTGCAATATTGATCTTATTTCTTCTCAATGTTATTCCAATGTATGTAGTTCTTTTCTTCCCATCACTTCCGTTTGCAGCTTCAAGACTTAGTTACTTCAATGTATTTAGGGGCCATTAATTTTCTATAATATAACGTGATGTCTCTCAATTTCATGCGAACTTGTAAAGACAACTTTAAACAACTGTTCTATGACTGGTCCAAATACTTTAAACACTACATGATTCAAACCATATATCAAACAATTTGTCATTCAGACTTTATGGGCACACACACTCAGGTATCACATCAATGAGCCAATTTACATGATTTAAAAGAGATTAACAATAAAAGAGATTAACAAACCAATAAAATAAAGTGTTATATTTATCTTATTTTACATGAGAGAAACAATTTTTCTACACATACAAAAAAGGAGTGGGTCCCACCACTCTTTTTTTCTCTCTCTTCTCATCTGTGGGTCTCACTTACAATTTTATTTCTACAACATGAGATAACTATTTTCCTACAATATAAAAAAAGTATTTCCTTAAAATAAAACCCATTTTGTACAACAAAAAAAAGCAACTACCGAAAACAAGCACCAAATAAGCATAGCAAGAACAAGCTCCGAAAATCAAACCTTTTTCCACGCAATGTTGGGTTAATCCACTTCGATGTTGCTTCCCCCATTTGCTAACATTGAGCAATCAAATCAGAAAAGAAAAAAAAAAGAGCTCCGAAATATTTATTTGTGCAAAAATTTGTTAAAAAAAATGTGTTAGAATAACACAATATCAAAGAGACCAAGCATAGAAGCAAAGCCGTAATCATGTGTTTGATACCGAGAAAGAATAGAAAAAGAGATAGAAAAGTTTCTAAGTTTAATGTCAACGAACCTTGTGTGCACATTCAGAATAATTAGAAAAGAAAGAGGAAATTAGGAAGAGAGAGAGAGGGTTTTGATTTTAATAACAAGGGTAAATAATTAAGGGTTGGCTTTTCTGCAGTTATTGCAGATAAGTTATCTGCAGTAAGCCCAATACGACGTCGTTTTGGGCAGAAATCATGGTGTTTTTGTAATTTTAATTTATTTCAGGGTTATAATAGTCTTTATATTTATAATTTTTTAAGATTTCAATACCAAAACGACGTCATTTTGGGAATAAATGCAGATAACTTATCTGCATTAACTGCAGAAACATTTTTCCCAATAATTAAATTAAAATATTTTACCTTTTAAAACTCCCAAATTGGGAACAAATCTTTGGTACGTGAAATATACCCAATTCAGTATATCTTTTTCTAAATTTGAAAAAAAAAAAATCACCACTTTAAAAAAGAAATACCTGCCACAATGAAAAAGTTTTTGCTTTTGGAAAGATGTATGTACCAAAAATTTATTTTCAAATTGGAGAAATTTTAATTTTGAGAATAACAAAAGTTTTGAAGGATTTTGCAAAAATCTTCAATTCTCTCTCCTCATTTTTTTTAAACTCATTAATAAGAAAAAAATTTACCAAAACTATTTTTTTTCCTTTCCCTTCCCTCCAAACAAAATCTAAAAAGACAAATATTTTTCCTTTAATTATATAATAACCAAAATTCCAATAATTAAGAACTTAATTTATTTTTAAAAAAATATATAGAGAAACCAAAATACAACCTAACTTTCAAAATCCAAGATAACATAATACTAAAAGAAAGTTTTATGTCCATCAAAAAGTAAAACTTAAAAAAGAACTGTAATTCATGTCAAAATACCATTTTTCTAAGATGAAATTGAAACATCTGCATTATAATTTTACATACTACACAAAATCATATGGTTACTAATTTACAATATGTGAATCAACATTCAACAGCCGGGAGTCGAGAAAGAAATATTTTGAGAGTACCGATGAGGATTTTTTTTTTTGAGAAGTTATATAATTAGAAGATCCACAACGTTGTACCTCTTTATTAATCCATACTAGAGTTGCCATCTCAAACAGAGATCATTTAATTGAAGCAAAAGTTTATTAACTTGACACCAAACTTTATTACAAGAACTTGCATTGAACTCGTTAAAGCTCGACCACAAGTGAAGGAAATTAAATCTCAAGTTGTGCCTGCGATTTTGCTAGCAAATCCAGTTTGCTTGTCACCGAACCTTTCCCATAGCATTACTCCTCCATACCTGCGTGATCTTTTGACAAAAGGCAACACTTGATTCATGAGCATTTGAGTTGGTACATAGCCACTACCAGCAGATGATGTTGAAACTGGAAGTCCAACATAAATCTTGCGTGCCCTTATTGACGTTGTCCACTGATACCATGAATTCTGAAACCTGCTGGGGTTGCGAGAGTCAAATTGACAAGGACCATTGTTGTAAAACTGTATCCAAACATAGTCAAATAGCCCTGTTGATAATGCCCCATTAAGGTGTTGATCAGGGAAAGGACACTGAGGTGCAGCGGTTAAGTGCAATTTTCTTCCCCCTCTGCTAAGCTGAAAGAGTCTCCTTGCAAGATCAGCATAGTGGGCTTCACCACCACCAAGTTCAATGTCGAAATCTATGCCATCCAACACAGCATTACCAAATGGTCTTGAGCTTGGTGATTTTCCTCCCAAGAAGTTGTTCCATATGTAATCTGCTACATTTCTAGCATCTTCAGTTGATGATAGAGAGTACCCTGGCTTGCCACCTCCAATTGAGAGCATCACCTTGATCCCCTTCTTCTGACAATTCTTGATGTCTTTGCTCACGTCTTTGCAACCATTTGATGCTGGGTTACAATGACCTGATAGGTCGAGTAGAGGTTGACGACCACTGCCAAATTTTGATAGAAATGCTATGTTTACAATGGTGTATAGTCCAGAGTTACATGTTTCTGTCAATGAGCCCTCTCTCTCGTTTTGGCCCCAGTAAACCACAATGTCTCCTGCATTTGTACTAGAAACCAAGGCAAGAAAAATCATGACAAATATAATTGAAGGGTAACCTGTTTCATTCCCCATTGCAATCTTTGTTGTCTTGAGTACTAACCGAGTTAGGAACCAATTTATAGAGCCTCACGAAAATTTTTATTAAACCTAATGTAACATGCAGTCTATGCAGTTATTGTGAAATGAATTTATATAAATTGATTATTAATTTAATATTTCAATTTTAAACTAAGTCGTGTTTAATTTTTCAAATAAGTACATATATTTATTATAAGTTACAACACTAATTTAATGGGTATTGTATTTATAAAAATATTAAACTCAGTTAGGTTTGCGTAATTAGCTCAACCAACATGTGTCTGGCGTGACTGAAGACCAACTCCAAGAGCAAAACAAGTACGTTATTGTTAAACTAATGCTCATGTCTAACTCTTTCGTTACATGGAATCTGTTCTGTGCAAATACTGTTTTTCAGATAATACCCTAACTGATTTTATTTTTTTAAGCTCAATTTTTGGAAATACTTTATTTTATATCAAATATTAGAAACAATAATTCAAGTCCTGAAAATAACCCTACCCTTCTTTCCTGGCTTGCAAAGAGTTCACTCTATGTTCTACTGCTTTAGATTTTTATAATTACTACATTTCTGGAGACAGAAAGACGCGTATAAATTCCGTTTAGTCAAATTTTAAGTTTATATTCCAAATAAAGACAAGGTTTCATCCTCATTAAAACCCAGAGAATGCCTATTCAGCCAAAAATAAAAAAGATACGTGGTTGGGCACTGGGCACCGTATTTTAACCAAAAAAAAAAAATTAAATTAAATCCGAAACCATGTCCATCGCTTAGATGCTAAACTCTGGCATGCTTCATGTCCATCACTTATTCCGTGGTCTTTTTTCTATAAATGAAAATTTTTCTTCCATTTCTATCCCTTTTTTTTTTTGATTTTTTTCCCTTTGTCCTTTTTTTTTTCTATTTTGAGAAAGGACCACATGGTCCAGGCCCACAAAATACCTTCTCCCCAAAGTGCTTGTCATACGAATCTGCTACATTTCTTGTCCTATTTTTGTTTATATATTTATTTTATATCCTATCATTCTTTTAGTAAAATAATATTTTCACATCGAAATATTTAATTTATTTAATTAAAAATATATATAGAACAAGTTATATTTATAATTATTTTATTTACAAATTTTTACAAACTCATATATATATTTCTAGATATACACATTCAAGTATTTATACTCCTTAAAATACATAGTTGAGTTTGTAAATAAAAAATTCGAAAACATAACCCTTCCCGTATATATAATATTAAAAATAAAAACTATCGTTAGGTATTCTTCTATTATCACCAAAAAAATTCTTATGATTCATCATTCTATTAAATGCATTACGATAAAAAAAAATAACTGGGAATCCGTGACTCGACAATTATGATAATTATATTTAAGTAAACTCGTCTCGCAAGGATACCGAAAAAATGTAGAAAGAAAAATAAGATACAAGATTCGAGAACAAAAGGATAATGTTCGTCCTCTCCTCTCCGTTTCTATATGCTGAATATGCTTGCCTAGACTTAAAGAGAATATTCAGTTACATACCGCAAGGGTAGCACACTAGCATGTTTGGTTTTAATTTTATTTTGAAAAAAAAAAAATCAAAAGTAATCTCATTATACATGTGTGACTCAGGACCGATTCGGCCAATTGGATTAGGAAACACGAGTTGAGTGACGCGTATATTGTTCAAAACATCGATCTCAAATTCTCGATTACTCTGTACTCTTTGAATTTCATTTGGCCCAAATTGAATTGATGGGCAAGGCTTACCTATTCCTCCCGCTTAAATCTTTTGTAATTGGCAAGCAGATTTCTTTTGGTACATATTGAATTGCTTAGTAAGAAATTTTTTTAGTTTAAGCATCGCCGATAGGAAAATATTTTCAATACTACCGTAATATTGAAGATTCAGTATTTTTGCTAAAATGATGGGAAATTATTTTTTGATGGAAAGAGGCCAACTTATTATAAAACCAGGCACAAAGTCATGGTATAAGTAAGTCAGAGAGAGGAAACATAACGGGTAAAGGCATTGGAGTTGAAACGAACTATTATTGACCATTCAATCTTATATCTCTCGTATGCGTTTTAAATGCTATAAGAAACAAACAAATATGTCTCGATTAATTGAGTATGGCTAGAAATAAGTTATTCCATCTATATTCTATTTTGTGAAGTTGAATATGACATTTAAATTTTCTTACGCCAAGCACTTTTATATCTGATTAGTGCAATATAACTAATGGGTTGACTCAGGTATTTGGGTTGATGTGTTGTCTGTCAGATGCTTGTATAGTTGGCAAGATTCTTGAGCTGTTACTAGTAGTTTAGAGGAGACTAGGGATTTCTGTAAGACATTTCAATGCTGAAGTCTATAAGAGGTGTTTGGTAGAAAAGAAAGTTTTTTTAATCTGAGAAACCTGATTTCTTAAATTATGATGGGAAAGGCAGTTTTTCGGAAATGTTACAAAAAAATTGTTTGGTTGATAAAATTATATCTGGGACTATTGGGTTGATTTTATAAATGCTATGTTTGGTTGATAATAAAATATTGACGGAAATATATGTTGGAAGTATTCAAGTATGAGTTATAAAGAAGTACCACATCGACTAGACATAGACCAAGTGATGACCATATAAGTGCAAAAGACTCATAAACCTACAGTCTTAAGATTTTGGGTTGAGATGTGGTGTCAGCCCACCTATTTGGTTTATCGCTTGACCTATGGATGTATCTCTTGCAAAGGGTTTTGGGCTCCCCATATCATTTTCAACAATATATATCTAATTTATGAAATTAACCCTGAGGGACGATACTTTTGAGGTCATTTTACTCACTTTCTGTCTCTCTATTTTATCAAAACTTTAAATTTGTTGTTGTGTTTAGTCGTCTATTTTCATATCTGTGCACGCTCTCTGTTCGTAGCCACTGACCACCTCTCCGACCCGGTGATTGTTAGGCAGACATCTCTCTCTTGATTGGTCGGTCAACAAATACACCCTAGAATTTTAAAGCAAGCATCTATCCATCCAGTGTCATACGGGAACTCAGATTGGAGGTATCAATTTGCCACCATTACTTGGTAAGCTGTGCAACTTGTAGATCTGCGCCAACATGGCACGATGCAACAAAAGGGTAGAATAGTCCCAAAAATTCAGAAAAATTTATCCAAGAAACTAGATTGTGGAAATACCACATACTTTGTGGTATTTCTTGGTGGTATTTTGACCACAAATTTGCACTATAATCAAAATGCTGGGCGTTTGGGAATCATGGCGAAATTTTTGAATTTCCTCTACCAAACATAGATATACTATAATCTCAAGTGAGATTTATCATTCTAAAAAAACACCTCTACCAAACAGGCTATAAGAGTTCAAGTGTTGATGAGAAGATGGTTATACCTGGACTTAATGACTTTGTATTTATTGTAGATGAATGTTTGCTTATGCAACATTAATATGATTCCTATTGGTGGATAGTGGCAACCTTCTTAGATTAATTTTGGTGCGATAAAGAACAAATTCAATCCAAAAGCTTAAGATGTTGGATGATGACCTTTTTAATGATTTATATTATTCTTTAACATATCTCCTCATGCAAAAGTCATTTGAACTTGAAGCGTGAATATTGCACATGCCCAATTTTTAGTTTACCTTGTTTTTTATTTAATTCCAATAGAAAGTAAAGGGAATGACGATCGAACTCGTGATCTCGTAGTTATTGATACTTTGATATAATGTAAAAAAAATCAATTTAACCTAAATGCTTAATTTGTTGGGTGAGAATCTTTTGAATAATTTATATTATTCTCTAACAAGATGCATGTAGTCAATTTAAACCTTTGTAGCTGTTGCGGCATATAGATATCTGTCCTCTAGTCATTGTTTCATATGGGGGGTTAGGGTGTTATGAGTAGCTAATGTCGCATAACCCCAATTATCGTCATTGTTTCATATGGGGGGTTAGGGTGTTATGAGCAGCTAATGTCGCATAACCCCAATTATCTGAACAGATGGTAATATATACATATAGTTGAGAGATCTTCAAGTTATGCGAGATGACCACATTTCTCTCTTCACTAAGCAATGTTCTTTTTCGGCCTTCTTACATGTTGCAACAATAATCACTTACAAGTTCGTAAGAGGGAAGTCCAAATCGATATCAAAATGAAGAGACATTTTATGTATTCAAATCTCCCTCATCAAATTTTAATACTTGTGAAGACGTTAGAAAATAAATCAGAACAAATGAACATGACTCCACATATACATGTGCTTTGGATGTTACAGAGAAAGTCATTAAGGAAACATATTAGTAAAATTAGTTGAATTCCACTTTGCTTTTATCGTTTAATCCCATTTTTCTATAGGTAATATCATCTTATTGTATATGATTATACCCATTTTCCTTTTTGCACCTTCACATTAAAGTACACATGACTAATGTTAATGTTCTAAACTTCTGAAATATACAAGAGATAAGGACGCGTCAAACAAGAGAGTTTTGAGGCTTGGTTGCTAAAAGGTGTTGGTGCAACAGCTGAATGAAACGCTTCGGTTCGGACAATGCTAATCCCAATAGACGCACCTTTTTATTGGGTGCCTAACAATGGTCAAGTTAAGAACTTGAACTTGTATGATGCTTTGGATTATTTCGAGAAACCGTAACTTGATGATAAATGCCCATCAAGAAAGTCGAGCGACCAATGTGTTCTTCAAGACTCAAGAACAACCAGCTACAAAACTAAACAGAACTGATGTTAGACGACTTGTGATAAAATTACCTAAAGTGCAAAATAAAAATGCGTTTCATTAATTATTTAACGGAGATAAGTTATTTTCGGTGAGTATAAAATAACGTTATATAAGGGTAGAAATTAAGGTGTTTTTGTAAATATAATATATTACAGAATTATATTAGTCTTTATCATTATAATTTTTTAATCTTATAACTCAAAACGACATTATTTTGAGCTCATTGAAAATAATTTTATCTTCGGTAACACGAGAATTACTTTTTCATAAAATTAACCTTTAATTACATTATACTTATCTGTATATTAGCTGTATAAAAGGGTTTGTTGGCCGTACATCCAGTTATTAACTAGCAATAGTGCGGCCTTTAACTTATGGCCTCATCCAAGCCCTAGTTTAGTTGTTTACAGCTAAATTTACGTTTGCAGCCTAACTACTACAAAATAAATTCCAATAAATATATAGGTAGGTCCCACAGTTATTATCTGTGAAACAACCACGTTCTCTTTCATTCTCTTTCTCTCTCAACAGTTATTAGCCACCTGTTTCTACCGCCGGAATCACAACCGTTGATTCTTTCTTGGTCCATCATGCCCGTTGATCTTGCCGGAGATTGAAGAAAGAATAAAGATGGCGTGGTAGGATTCTACAGAGAGAGAGAGAAAGAGAAAGACAGAGACAGAGAAAGAGCAATGCCGTCGCCGGCGAAGACGCAGCAAATATTGGAGATCAACTTGATCTCAGCACAAGGCCTGAAGCCTCCTTCATCTCCCCGGCGAAGGCTCCAAACCTACTCCATCATATGGATCGACTCCTCCATCAAGCTCCGAACCCGAGTCGACAAAATCGGAGGCCAGAACCCTACCTGGAACGACAAGTTCCTCTTCCGCGTCACGCCGGAGTTCCTCGCCAGCGATACTGCCGGCGTTTGCGTCGCCATCTACGCCGTCGGAACCTTCCGCGACCACCTCGTCGGCACCGTTAGGTTTCTGATCAGCAACATCCTCTCCTCCGACGCAGACGCCGCCATAACCCCCTGCTTCAGCGCCTTTCAGATTCGCCGGTCGTCGGGGAGGTTCCACGGCGTGATGAACATCGGCGCCATGGTGATAGAAGGCTCCGATTTCCCGGCGCTGGATAAGATATCGGCGATCGGGTACCGTGACCTCATGGGAGAGAAGATTAGAAACCGCAGGAGAAAGACGCCGGAACCGAAAGCGGAGCACGCAGACGTGGCGGACGACGTTTCGAGCGAATCTTGTGAGAATTCTTGCACGGAGTCAGTGGACGAGGCGGAGTCTTCGACGACGTCATCTTCGTCGTCGCCCAGAACGACGGCGTTGAAAGAATGGAACGGAGTGAGGGAATTGGCGGGAAGGAAAGGGTTAACGGCTTCGGGATTGTTGTGCTGCTTGGTTGCCGAGAGGAGTGTCCACCACCTCAGTACAAGTAACCCCAATATGGAAAGGTAATAAAGGAACGAACTACCACTATTATCTCAACCTAATCCACCATTCATTCACATTCTCGTCTTCTCCATTGAACGATAGAGATCTTTCTTCACCGTTCCTTCTCTCTCTCTCTTTTTTCTTTTTCTAGTTTTTTAGTCTGAGACACTATCTACTCAGGTCACTCCTCCCACATGTCCTACACTCTGTTTTTTTCTTTTTTTAATTTTTCAGCTATTGCCTTTCAATTCAAACTCTCAAAAATATATAAAATTTAGAACAAAATAAATTCTTTTAGAGATCATTACTTTAATATATTTTATTTTTATATCATTATACAACTGAGGATGAGAACGATGAAGTTTTTTGGTAACATCTAACCGATTCTACTGCTGTTGGTCATTGAAAATTGAAGCTACATGATGAGTATATGGACAATTATTCCTCATTCATAAATCCATCTCACTTGATCTCAATTACATAATTGAAGTTAAAAGTCTGCTGCTCATTGATTTGGTTGGTACCATAGCCAAGAAACAAATCTTGGTTAGTAAATGTGCTGTGCCCAGCAATAGGGTTCGGCCTTTTCCAAAGGGTCAATATTTTGGGTCAATTTTGAATCTATTTTTTGTTTTTTGTTTTTTATTTTTGTGGTCAACAGTCAGTACTTAGAAACAAGTACTGAACTATATGAATAAATTTTTGATGCAATGGATGTAGATATTTTTCTCAAAATATATATATATATATAGAAAGAAATAATCATAAAAATAAGGATAATATAATTATTTATTTATTTTTCATATGATGTGATCGTTACAGCTGACAATATTTTGGAACCGACCACCAATATCTTTCTTAGCCTATGGCAGTTAACTTGGAAAAGACAAGAATATGGGGTTTCTCTAATCTTATCTCGAAAAAGTAAAAACTATAAGTCTATAACCCATGAAAGGGAAACGTAACCTCGAACCAAATGTAACAGCAGTTCTATTTGAATTTCACAATATAACAAGTGGGATACAAGGTATTCTGGTTCGAATTCCATTTAGGTTAGGCAATGGAGATGCAAGGGCATGAAGCATTGTTAGACACAAATGAATCTGTATATGTTAGTAAACTAGTCCAAATTAATATAGCTTAATCACAATATATATATATATATATATATATATATATATATATATATATGATATTTTCCTAAGAAAATGAAAAGTAATACTTTTAGATTTATTTATTTTATAAAAAAAGTGTTCCTATTAGCTTTTTTCTCTTACATTTTGCATTTGAAGAGTCACAATATTAAATAAAGAAAAGTTTAAATACCATTATGGTATGTCTTTGAATCATATACTCTCCTGTACAACTTTTCTATCATGTAACCCCCTATATTTTTTATCCAAGTCTCTCCGTAATATTGTTACAGTTTCGAATTAATATAATTATTTTATCCTTCTTATAAAGATATGCTTCAACTATGTCATTTTCTTCCCGAGCTTTGCAAATGTGTCTTACCATATAATTTTTTTTTTTAATTTCACACAAAATTTGGGAAGTTCCTATAACAAGATAATGAGAAAAATAACCAATCAAGCCATTAAAAGCCAAACTTGTATAGTTGAGCCATTATTTTTTGGCACAAAATTATGCTTCAATAACTTTAATTGACATTTACTCTATAAAATACTAATCAATCACATAAAGATACAATTAACAGTATAACTAGTGCACTCTACAACACACAACTATAAAAAAAAAAATTGTTTATAATGCAACTATAAATTTATTTATTTTTTTAAATAAAGTACATATTTAAATTTCTATATTCATTTTTATCTGGTGATTAAAGATAATTATTTTCAATTTTTTTTGGGCATATATTCCCTTTTCTCATAAAAAAATCTTTGGCAAAATTTTTTATAAGCTCTAACAAATAAAATCAAGCCCGTCAATCTGAAAGCTTCAATCTTAACCTTGATTTAGTATAGGTGTGTAGTTGAGTCATTATTTTTTGGCACAAAATTCTGGTTTAATAGCTTGAAATTTTATGCATAAAATATTTGCATTAAATTTTGTCTGAAAATTCATTAGCTTAACACGAAAATTTCACAAATTTTATTTTAAACTGGAGAAATTTTGTATGGTAAAATTAAGGGTGTTCAAAATATCCAAAAGAACCAAACTGATCCATAACCAAACTGCTCTACATTTTAAAAATCGGTTATTTTTAAAAACCGGTTTCATATAAAACTGCATTTTATTTTATAAACCGGTTATTTACTAAACCATAAAAATAATTGGTTATCCATGATTATCTATAATCAAACCGCTCTATAATTAAATAACAAATAATATTATCTTTTATCATACCTATTATATTCATCAATTGACTCAAACTTCCAAACAATCTGAGTCACATAAAGGCCCAAACATCATTTCCAGTTGCAATGTCGAATGATATAGACCCTACCAATCTGTCATGAACCTTCAAATACCTATTAGTTTAGGGGAACAGTGACCATTGTGCCACTGTTCCCACTGTTATTTACCTAAATGCCACGCACCTGAACTTTTTTCCCAAACTGCCACGCGGGCTAGTTCGCTGGGAGTAGTAGCAAACTAGGCATGATGATGTGTCAGTAAGCTGGTGGTGCTCAAGTTCGCTTGTGTCAGTAACGAACTTGGGTGCAATAAAGCCTGCAACGTATTTTGAGTTCGCTGCCTATGCAAGCGACCTAGATGGCACGTGTCTGACCCCAACCAAGTTCGCTGGGGGCCAAGGCGACCTAGGTGCCACGTGGCAGTTCCCTAGAAGTATGTCGCCTTGGTCAGCAAACTACTTGCCGACAGTTACAGGTCGCTAGGCCATAAAGCGAACTCAGTGTTATATTTAGACCCCCTTCCTCGATCAGTCATTCATTCTCGTTCATTTTCTTAAAATGAAATTTCCATTTCTGTGTGTGAATTCTATTTCAGTACATAATGAGTGAGAATAACAATGATGTAATATGCCTTCTATATTACAATGGGAGAGGATATTTTGGACCGAACGGTCAAGTGTTTGAAGGAGATACGAAGATCTTCTGCATGAGTCCGCGTTACAAATATAATGAGCTCAAGAAAATAATATACAAGAAGTTTAGATTACAACGAGGTCAATCCTTGTCTCGACTGATTGTTAGATGTGCTTCTGGTAACCCCGTGCAATGGGTTGCTGTGGAGGTGGTTGAGGATGAAGATGTGTCACTAGTAGTTGATGCATTTCGACAGCATGGAGAGTCCTCATACATCGAGTTATATGCGGAACTAAACAACGGTGGAGAGGCAAACACTCAATGTTTCATCCCTACCAATCACTCCATAGACATTAACAAAGCGCCGGAAGTAGATGCAGAAGATATGAATGTGTCACCCCCACCATCATCTCCCCCAATAACACAACCTTTAGATGTGATTCATGCCAATGAAGTAGATGATCCATCGGGGCATACTGATAGTTCCGAGGAGGAGGTTGATGAAGGTCTAGTCTCTGACAGTGACTCGTCGGATACAGACGTTGATGGTGATTTCGAGTTGGAAACGTCCACTGCTTTGGTTGAACCGATTCCATCACCGGGTATTATTGGTGCGCATGACCCACCACTACTAAAACTAATTAAAATAATAAAACAATTAAATTAAATAGATTAATTAAGCTATAAAATATTTAACTACTTAAATTAACATGCAATTACTAAACTATTAATATTAGAATAATTCAAATAATAAAATAAATAATATGTCATCTAACCTAATGTGTCATAACATTAATCATAAAAGTTATCTTCTTCTAAAACCTATAAATGAATAACACATATAAAACAATTTATTACATACATTAATTAAACAATATGTTATTTAACTACTAACATTAAAATGTAATTACTAAACTACTAATATTAAACTAATTAAAATAATAAAACAATTAAAATGTCATCTAACCTAATATTTTATGTTACATATAATATATTAAACAACAACTAACTAACAATAAAAAAAGAATAAAAATTAATCAAATTATACATCACTAACCTCAAATGAAGACAAAAAGACCAAATGAGAGAGCAAGAAAATTAAGACAGAGAGAGAGAGAGAGAGAGAGAGAAAGAAAATGGGGAGGGGGGACGCGGATGGGAAGGGGGGAAGGGGGGGTTTATATAGGGGGAAAAAGTAACCGTTGGGCACAGGTCGCCTGCGTGGGCAGCGACCTCTCTTGCATGCACGCCACGTGGCCTGGCTGGTCAGGCATTAATTGCAACAGAGGTCGCCTGCGTCAGTCGCGAACTCTGACACCACCAGGAAGCTGACAGTTCAGCATCACGAGGTCGCTACATCTCCAGGCGAACTTTTGGTAAAATTGTTTCTTTGCGTGACATTTAGGTAAATAACAGTGGGAACAGTGGCACAATGGTCACTGTTCCTAGTTTAGGTTATAATTTTCAGTTGTTTTAGCACAGCGATAGCAATAAACTTTAAATTTTAACTGTTTTGTTTTGGATATTGTGAGAAACATACACAGTACAAAAACGCCTAACTTATTACAAAAAAGAAAAAAAAAACGCCTAACTAAGTTACATTTTATATTCAACATGTTATTCAAAAATCATTCATGCTGGACATGATTGAAGTTTATTTGCTTTCTTGAATGAAGAGTTTCTTGAAGAGTTACAATTTTTTTTTTATTTTGAGAATGAAGAACAATTTTTTTTATAATTTTAAAATAATTCAATTGTTCTTCTACTAATCACTCTCAAAACAACGTGAAACAATTTTTATAAGAATCATTTCATCCGGAGAGTTCTAAAACAATGAAGATTAATGCAAAAAATAGTTGGTCAACTACCTATAACCGGGAGAAACAAACGGCTACTTATAAAAATAAAACAATTCATCGAAAACCGATTTTAAATTTGTTAAAAAATCGATTTTGAACTTGATATCCGGTTTATGATTTATAACCGGTATCGATTTAAAACCGGTTTTGAATTAAAACCGGTTTAAAATCGGTTTTAAATCAAAACTGGTTATAAACCATAAACCGGTTTTGAAACCGATTTCAAACCGGTTTAAA